GCTAATATAAAACTCTCGGTATAAGGATCCCAGCAAGATCGCAAAGCCATCTGTATGCATGAACAGATCCACATTTCTGGGAGCACCCAAATTCTGCCATGGTATGCATAGTTCTCTTTAGAAAGCAGACTGTTCAAAGAGCTCTAGGCGCTTCCTCTTGTTATATAGCTGTCTGAGGTCACCATCAATAAATTACTAGCTTAAGGAAAACAATGACAAGCCTTTTCCATGGAGAACAAGGTTTGCTCTTTCAATTATTTCCTAAAGTCTCGCCCTGCTTCCCAGCTTGACACCATAATTTTTGAGGCAACAGCACTGAGTCTGTTTGTTGTTGTTTGGGCCCACAAAGGCACACTGCACCTGCCCCCCGTAAGCACAGCAAATGTAGAGAGCAATGCATCCTCCTGGCAGTGGAACTTGTCAAGTAATGATCACTGCATTGTTAATGAAGTGGCTGCTTTGTTAATATGGCTTACCAGGGTGACTCTAAATTGCCTGTATTATTTACCAGTCTGGCTTTTCTTTGTATGGAAAATTTTGTTGACTGTTCTCTGACTGCTACAAAGTTCACATAGAAATTACTTATAATCTCAAGTCAGATCTTTCAGAAATTCAAGATATGACTTACATCTAGAATAAAGATGGTATACCTAAAATGAGTGATAATTTCCTAAACTTGCATATGGATACAAAAGGAAAGAACTAGGTTTATTTTTCACAGTCATTTTTTTCCTTTAGGTATTGGAGAGATGTTGTTGGGCAAGACAGAAGGACTTGGGTGCCACGGGGCGGGGACCATTTTCCTCACTGGTCACTTGGAAATAGCTGACATATGATATTATTGTTTCTTTGAGGTTTGTAACCTTCTGCTAGAAGTACATGTCCTTGAGAAATAGCCTCCTTTTTGGTGGAGGGTGGGCAAGGGATACTTGGGAAATCCCTTTGAGATCTCCTATAGTCATGAAGGAAATTTGTATTATTTTCTCCTTTTGAAACAAAAGTGCCCATTTTTCTTTCAAGATAGGGGGAAAAGCCAGCAAATGCCCATTTTTCTTCAAGGTAGGTGGGGTAACTGGTACATTCAAAAGATATTTGATGCTTCGCTGTCCTGCCATTCTCCATTGAGAGGTCTGTCCTTAAGTTTCCCCTCCTCCCATCCCCAAATATATACCAGCTTCAAGCCTATTTGGAGACAGAATACAGCTTTCTGTTGTATCCACACAAATATACACACATGCTCATAGGCAGATCAACCAGATGCAGAGCGAGCAACAGGAGGTGGCAGAATGCTTGCCACTGTGTCACTGGATTTGTAAGCACCCCCTCCAAGCCATGGCCAAGATTAGTTATTCCCTGGGCTAAAGCCAACCTGAAAACCTGCAGACCCTGCCAAAGCCCTGACAGTCCCTAAGCCAAGCTTGTTGCCAGAGTCACACAGGAAAGTCATTAATTCATTAAATAAAGGTTCAGTAAAAGAGCCCATTGTGTGTTCATCAGTGGGCTACCTACATATAAGCTATCTAAACATTCCCTTAAGGAACCTAGACTATTTGGAGAAGAGGAATAAAGACATACAACCATTTAAAAATTGAATAATGTCACAAGAGATATCCCTCAAAGCAGTATGTAGATAAACACCAAATGATTTTTCAGAGGAGAGAGCTTTCAGAGAGTGAATCCCAGTGATCAGAAAAAGAAGATAGTAACATAGTAGAGAGATCCTGGGTTTGGAGGTAGACGGACTGACTGGGAAAAGACCTTCACTATGTGACTTAGGTCAAATTCCTCACCCTCTCTGGACTTGAGTTTCCATACCAGTGGTCAGCAGCACACAACAAGCATTCAATAAATTTTGAGCTGTTTTGTTTTTAGTACATCATAAGGTAGGTTAGGATTTGGTTTAGTCCAGGGGAAAATATGAGGGTATTCCTTGGGAAAAGGACAGGTAAAACAAGTTATGTTTCACCACATTGAGTGAAAACTTTAGGGAGTGGAAAAGCATGAAATGGAACATTCCATTTCCTTCTTAAATTATTTAATGACTTTCCTGAATATGAAAATCTTTCAGCTCTATTATAAATTTGAAAAGCTAGGAAAACACAAGGAAGAAAGTAAAAATCAAATACTATCTCCACCAACGAAAACTATAAAGATATGATTTTCTTTCCACTAATTTCCTAATGTGCATTTTAACATCTGAATTCACTCTATATACAGCTCGAATTTTTTTTTTTACAACTTCTTTTGACTTTCTGTTTTTCTACCATATGCATTTTCCCATGTCATTAAAAATGTGTCACAAACACTTGGAATGACCACATGGAATTCTATGTATAGATACACCAAAATCTACTCAACTATTCCACTAACAGTGACATTCACTGTTCAGACATTTCGCTATTACAAATACTTCCTCGAGTACCTTACCTTTCAGTCATAATTCCTGTGTCTAAATGTGGGATAAGTTTCTGTTGGTAGAATTACTGTTCTAAGGTCCTTGCTGAATGCAAAGTGCTTTCCAGAGTAGATGCACATTCCCACCAGTCACAAGGGAGAGATGGCTTGTCTATGCAAATCCTGTGTATTACCTTGGAAAAGAATTTTTTTTTGGTACAATTTTGATAGTCAACAAATAGTATTTCATTGTTCTCTTAATTATCTGCTTCCTTTTAGCAGATAAATCTGTAAGGATATAAAGGAGTTTCCTCAGATAAAGGAAGGAGAGTCCTTTTGTTTGCAAATATTTATTGAGCAAATGATTTTGCTCCAGATTTAGCCTCTCTTCCTTCTTGAGCAAGTATAGGGGATTCCATATTTCAGGTGTTCAGCCACTGTGAAGAGGAGAGTTTTGAGGAACAATACCCCTGACATTCTGAGTCAAAACATTTTGATCTGCCACTACCAAGCTTCCTGAAAGACAACACATGGAGCCAGTCTAAACATTTTGGTCCTTCAACGAATAGGATGCTTATTCCACTTAGTTGACAAACATGTGAAGATCCTAATTAAGTTTTTTTTTAAAGATTTATTTATTTATTCGTACAGAACTGGGGTACAGGCCAGAGATGCGGAGGGTGAGAGGATTCACCAGAGACAAAGTGGGGTACAGAACAGGCAGATCAACGAAGTACACTGGTGAGGGGAGCAGCGGGCGGGTCAGGAGAGGTCTGCTCGCCATGTGGATCTCCTCCATGTGGATCTCCTCCATGTGGATCTCCTCGGGGCAGGCGGGATCGAACTCATGCGGAAGTGGCTTAAGCTTCTTTGTGCTGTGCTTTAACCCGCTGTGCCACCAGGGAGGGCCACTAATTAAGGTTTTAATAAAAAATATTTTTAAGTTTTCTAAAATTCACATAATGTAATATTATGAATGATTATTTTCTAGTGATTAGTCTGTCCTAAACCGGCAGTTTCCATTTCCTGTTCCCAATACCAACTTTAAGTAGATGAGGTCCTCCATCGACAAACATGATGGAAGGAGGCAGAGACAAAAGGGGAGGGAGGGGAGAAGCACCTCGAAGAAAAGATTCCCAGACTCTGGACTACCTAGGGAACAACTCCAGACTGAAAAGGTTTTAGGGTCCAGTCTAGGCAAGTCCTCTTCGAGGGGCTGTCCCGAGGTAGGGGGTGTCTGGGGTAAGGGCTGCAGTAAGATAAGTTGCTCTCGTGGACAGCGGCTCACACCTCGGTCTTGTGGTGACTAAGTTTGTGGTCGATCTATTGCTGCGCCCCGCCCCTCACTCCCTCAGCGCCCCACCCAAGGCTGCTGCAGACGTAAAGTGGCGCGAGTCTGGAAAGCACTGTTTGGGCGCGCAGTGTAAACTCTTTTTAAACGCACGCTGCTCTTCATCTCCACCACGCCCAGCTCTTGTACCTCATTTCTCGAATGTGCTAACGCTGTGCTTCGTATTGAGCAGTGGAAGGCGCCGGATGTAAGGTCTGAATATTTGGGTTCAAGCCCGACTTGGAATCCCAGGCACCCTGGCATTTCATCTCCCTGTACCAGCTCCCTGTTCTCCGGCGTGGATATCTCGTCCTCTGGTTCACCACTGTATCCTCCGCGCCTAGAATGGTGCCTGGCGTTCAGCTGGCGCTCTGTAAATATCTGTTGACTCAAAGCTTCTCAGTAATGGTAACACCAGCGCGGTGTTCTGAGAATGAACGAGTGCTTCGGTGAAAGTAATTTGTGATGTGACAAAAAAAAAGTACTATTTGTTAAATCTCTTATAAAGCACACTTTCATTTTTTTTTAACAATAGTATTGTTGTAGAATTAGTTACCCTACTTTTCCACCAGTCTTCAGAATTATGGCAAATCATTTTAACTAAGTGTTTCCTGATCGTCGATAACTGACAATGGCACCACTACTGTGGACATGCATCAATCAATACAGAGCTATGTTCTGAAGAAAGGATATTTACTTATTTTGTGTTTTGGATGGACCGCATCTGCTAGAACCGTGAGTAAGCAGATGTCGGATACTGGACCCACTCCCAGTATTGCCGCCTACTGGTTGTATTACTAGAAAAGGTCACCTCCTTTCTTTGGGCCTCAGGGTCTCCTTTTGACTTTCTCGAGTCTGGAATTCCATTCACTTGAGCAAGGATGGAAGCGCCACAGGGGGACGCGTCGGTCGCAGGCACTTCCCATCTCCCTCGGGTGGAGTCTGCTTTCCCAAGTTGGGGAAAGTTTCTAGGATGCCCTCCCCAACTGAAGACACACGGGAAACAGCAGCCACTGAGGAGCTTCCCAGGATTACCCCAGGGGCCGCTGGTGCTTCTGCCTCTTCACTCCGCCCGCCCGCCAG